CAAACTTTTGAATTTTAGATTATGTATTAAATTATTGGTTTTGTTTGTAGTTATATAAATTAATAATATTAGTTGTATTAAAGGGATAGTTCACCCAAAAATGAAAGTTACCCCATGATTTACTCACCCTCAAGCCATCCTAGGTGTCCTGGCTCTTCCAAGCTTTATAATAGCATTGAATGGGTGTTGAGATTTTAATGCCCCAAAAACTGCATCCATCCATCATAAAAGTACTCCACTCCAGAGAGTGGTGTTCCAACGTAGGACGCAGGCATAGCGTAAACTGAAAGAAGAAAGTCATATACACCTAGGATGGCGGGAGGGTGAGTAAATCATGGGGTAATTTTCATTTTTGGGTGAACTTTCCCTTTAATTTGAATGAATAAAATGCATGTTTATTTTGATTTAAAATATTATAATGTTTAATATTACATTTATTATTTTCAATTTATAGAATAAGTTGTTTTAAATCAGTCACTTTATTGTGAAGTAAAGTCATTCCACCGCTTTGTTTCCACAGAGAACAAACACCTGCTGCCTGCAGACAGGAAGCCCGGTGAGGAAACAGAGAGCCTTGTGGGTAAGCAGGTGGAGTATGTGACGGATAAAGGGGTGAAGAGAACAGGCCTCGTCATCTACCAGGTTCCCGCCAAGCCGTCCGTCTACTACATCAAATACGATGACGATTTCCACATCCACGTGTACGACCTGGTCAAGACCACCTAAAAAACCACAGACGAAACAAAGAAACCCCAGACAAACCCACAGCGCTTCACCTCTTCATAGCTTAAGTATCATCGCCTCTCATTGTACAGTCTGCCATGCCTCGCCGCGCCGCGGAGGTGGCGGAGGTGCTGTATGAAGCGTCCGTGTACAGGGTTTGTTATTTTGTGTTGATGTCACAGACGATTTTTACGCAGATTAAAAAAAAAAAAAAACTCACGTCAGAGAAACATTTGATTACAAATCATACAGTGTGACTTTCTAACTGACCTATTTATTGGACTAATACGCTTCGTAACCCAGAATTGCTGTTAAAACTTTTGAGTTGGTATTATGCGACGCATATTGTGGCTTTTAGTTGCGTTTTCCCCCAAATCAGATCACATCTGCAGTGAAACAAATGGGCGCCATTGAAGAGGGTTGCCTGTTTTGTCCTGTATGAAATAATTCATGCTTTATTATTTGTTTTGTCGTTAAACAGCAGAAGAGCACTTGTAACTGAACACCAAACCAACCAAACTACATCTGCGATTTTGAATGTCAAAATAGCAAAAATTAAAACCGTCTCCTGTTGTTTGTAAAGATTATTGCAAACTTATTGCAAAAATAAGAGTTTATGTAGCCCAGTTGATTTGAAATTTAGTAGGCCTTGGTTTAGAAAACACAAATCCAATCCAGCAGGCTGGATAGACCTGTTAGTCCTCTACAAACATCATAACATCTGCCTTACTGTGAAATAAATTGGTCTTAAATGATTTGTTTTGATTAAATTCACTATATTCATGCTCATGTTTTTGTCCCAGCCGATCTGAGCAGAGCTTCATGATTTCATGAGTTGTAATGAGGAGTGATTTTTGTTGATTTCATGTGTCGGATCGACTCGCGGCCCTTTATAGTGATAAAACAGCAGAACTTGAAATGTCTTTTGTGACTCTTTTTCCTCTTGCTTTTTGCATCACTTCATGTTTTGTTGTAAATGATGCACAGGAGCATGATTATTGCCCACCTGGTCATGTAGCTGATTAGACCTTTTTTTTGCTTGTAGCATTTGCACTTTATTCTTTCAATGTCGTCTGTAGCTCCAAAGTATCCCATAGGAAGTCAACGATTAAAAAACAGTCCGAAAATAATAGTTAATTTCAGATACAAAAAAAAGTGTCTTACCTGATTGGCATCACTAAAACAAAATATACAGCAAGCAGTTTGAACTGAACTGAAATTGTGCAACTTGTATATGATATTAGTATATTTTATTAACCCAATCCCATATATATATATATATATAAATATATATTGCAAATTAATTTGATCGATTTTGAATTTGAACTTACAATTGACTTGTATATGAATGGATTTGGTTATGTAAATGTAATGCATACAAATGGGGATTTCATATGTAAGTGTCGGACATTCAGCTCTGCTCTCTGATTGGGTGCCTGCTGTGGTTTGCATGTGTTTTTCCCGGACAGACCGACAGTTTTTGAATTCCTTCAGTACATTAGCGCTTCACACAGATTTATCAGTTGTTTATTGTGTAGTTAGATATTCAGTATGCCATTATCAAAAACACATTGCGCGTTTAATTAATTTTTTTGGAAAAGATAAATGGTTTGTTTCTCCTGACATAGTAAATGTTTTGGGCAACCCAATTTGGGGTTACAGGAAAGCATTGTTCAGTGAAATGCACATTTCTGTAAATGAATTGTTCTACTTTCAGCTGTTCATATGGATCGAGTTTCCGGTCCGTTTGCCATCACATCAGGTGGCTCGTTCTCTGTATATTCTCCGTTGTGCTTTAAAAACACTTGTACTATAATTCTGCTTTCCCTGTAGATAGAGGGTTTGATGATTTTGACATGTTCAAGGTTTTATGACCCTCAGCAGACTTCTGCGTTTTTTCTTTCTCCTAACTGTGAACGAGTAATTCTCTCTGGCTTCTTTGTTAATGTGCTTTATCGTGTGGTCTGCGAGCTTCTGCCGGTTCCTCTGGTTCTTCTATTTAATCTGTTCTTTTGCTGCTTTTTACCAAAGTTACGTTTCAGTAGGTGACATTGAGGAGTGTCAAACTATTTATCCTGTCTGTTTGTGTAATGATGTTATCGTAAATAATTAAAGAGATATTTTTTGCACTGAAAATGTTGTCATGGTAATGGTTTTTTCTAATTATTGAACTTCTTATATTCCTAGACACATATGATACACATAATGTAAAAACATTCTGTTAAATGACAGTATATGGCTTTTATAGGAATGGTAAACACAATTTTTTTAATATTTAAAAATATATATTTTTAATGATTCGCTAAAGCAACTCAACTCTGAGCAACTGTTTGCAGTTTTGTGTATTTTTGCGACTTTGGGGCTCTTTACTGTGGGAGCTGTTTCTGCCACAGAATAAATAAATAAATAAAATAGATAATCGAGACTTTTATCTCACAATTCTGTTTTTGTTTTTCACAGTTATGAGAAAAAAGTCAAGCAAAATTTGTAAGATTAAAGTTGCAATTACCTTTAAAATTTTTTGTTTATTTTGTGAAGGAAATAAAAAAAAAATTAATTGCGAGATATAAACAGAATTCTGAGAAATAAAATCAGAATTGCGAGATGAAATGTCAACAAGGAATTGGAAAAAAAAAAGAAAAAAAGTTGCAGTTAAAGGCTGATGATACACGGGGCAACTTTTTGAGCAATGTTGCTGTCAATGGGCCACTAGGTAAGACAGGACCCAAGACTGATCTAAAATATCCAGATAGAAATTTGTTACCCATTCTCAATCGAAAAGTGCCCAAGCAACATTGCTTATAAAAAGTTGCTCTGCAAAATTGCTCAAAAAGTTGCCCCGTGTATCATCAGCCTAACTTTTGTCCTCAGAATTGTCTGAAAGTCCAAATTGTGATATAAAAAGTAAAACTTAAAGGGGTCATATGATGCGATTTCAATTTTTCCTTTCTCTTTGGAGTGTTACAAGCTCTTGGTGCATAAAGAAGATCTGTAAAGTTGCAAAGACTAAAGTCTCAAATCCAAAGAGATATTCTTTATAAAAGTTAAGAGTCAACCATACTTACCTAAAACAGCTCGTTCTAACAGTTTATACCCTGATAGGTTACTAAACTGATTAAATAAATTTAAAGGGGTCATAGGATGCCCATTTTCCACAAGTTTATATGATTCTTTAGGGCCTTAATGAAAAGTCTGTAACATAGTTTGGTTAAATTTTCTCAATGGTTGTGTAAAAAACACCTTTTTTTACCCTGTCAAAAACAGCTCTTTTCAGATCAAGCCGTTTACTTTAGCCACATTCATCGTGAAGCTTGCTAATTAGCACATTATTAGGAAAGGCGATTTGCAAAGATTCATTACAAAACATTATACTCACTTCTTCTGTAGATGAGGCTGGATCATGAATGATTCGCGCGAACATAGACACATTTATTTAGATCGGGGGCGCATTCCCTTCAGAAACAAAGTAATCCACTGCCACTTCAGCGGCTCAGATGTCGGGAGTAAATGGCGACTGCTATGTTCATTATTACATCCAACAACAGAACACCTCAATCGCTTAGGAGTCATTCTTGTCTACATCTGCTCCAGCGGTGAAACAATAGAGGACTGATGACAGCTCACTCAGGGCGGGTCTAAGGTAAGACACCAGTCTAGTCTGTGCTGAAACGCTACTGTCAATCAAACTATCGTGGGAGGGGCCTGTCTGTGTGACATCACACAGACAGGCATCTGAGATCGGCGTGATTTGAGAAAGGGGAAAACATTTAACGAGATAAAAAAAAAAAACCACTGGGTGGATCTTTATCATTATAGGGTGTTTGTGTACACACACTACCAACACACATTTCAGTTCAAACAACTTGTAAAAGTGCATGTAGCATCATATGACCCCTTTAAAGCTGCAGTCCGTAAGTTTTGCCTCTTTGTCGCCATCTCTGTTTGAAAACATGCAATTGCAGCTGTGTGCCGAATTATCTTCCTTGCATGGCATAGCTCCAGCGCCGATGATCTAATGTTTTGAGAGTTACGTGCAAATGGCCGCAGCAGCTCTTCCTGTTCTGGAAACATCTGGTGGATCCATCATTGTAGTGTCTTCAGTGGCAGGTGAGTCTTTAACTTTGTTGGTGCACGTTCAATTAATATTAATCTAAATTGAATTTTCCTGCTGGAACTGGAAAGAATACTTTTGGCTCTTTTCCTCCCTGATTCAGGTAAGCTGGCGATTCAGGTAAGCTGGCGAGTCCATTTGTGGCTCTGTACACCGCTACCAAGTTTGCTATGAACGATTTCTTCGGAGCGCTGCAGAATGAACTGGCACTCAAGAAGAGCAACGTGTCTGTTTCCATCTTGATCCTCGGACTGATAGACACAGAATCAGCCATGAATAAGATCAGGTTGGTTTTCTGTTACAACACTCCACTTCAGACAAAAATGATGACTTTGGATGTTTTTTTTTTTAAAGTTTGGATTATCAGAAATGCTTTATTCAGCCACAGTAATAACCATTTTTAACTCGCATAACCATTTTTTATTCACATTTATCAAGTACATTATATAAATAAGTGATATAATTAAAGCCGTTTGCTTGAATCAACATTTCTATCATATAGCAAACACAGTATCTCATGTTTCATAAGTGCAACATGCCTTTGAATTTACAGTTTTTGCCTTAAATATTTCATGAGGTTGCTGGCAATTTTTAGAGGAGATTTTAATCTAAATTTAATCTTTATTGTCTTAAAAATAGTAAGAATTATGTTTATTTACATGCAAAACATGTTTGATTAAATATTATAAATATATTAAACATTTTGGTTAAATTTTTTTTTGGTAATACTTTACAGTAAGGTTACATTTGCTAACATTAATTAACTGCATTGGTTAAAATGAACTAACAATGAAAATACATTTATTAACCTTAAGCTAATTTTAGCATGTACTAATACATTAAACTCAAAAGTCTGTTATTATTATTTAATGGACCTGAGCAAACAAACATGAATGTTTACAAAGATTAATATATAGA